TTTAATTATGAAGTGGCTGGTCAGCGCTTGTTAGCCAGCCGTCACACTAAAAGAGGGTTTAAACCTCCCTTCTGTCCACACCTGCCATGCTGCTTGTGGGGTTATATCTGCAAATCATTAAACTGCCAGTAGCTGCCCACTGTAACTATAAACTAGTGACTGGTCAGCCATTCTTTCCGAGTTGCTAGAAAGAGCCACCCCCATCTTGCTATAAAAGATCAATTGAAACAAATATGGGCACAGGGAACAGACTGGGGCTTTAAATCTGCACCCACCCGTGTCCAGAGGCTGGGACTCTTAAATCCAGTTTTTGTAAAATACAGTAGTGGTCATCCTAGTGTTCCTCTCCTGAGGTGATCGGGTGCTACTTAGTAAAATAATTTGGATATTTCTCTGTCTAGTTATGTCTTTATTCCATTACTGACTTTTTGTACACTGTCTTTTGTAGACAAGTTTCTGGTTTGTCTTTTTGGATTTGAAATAAAACAGTAAAAAAAAATATCTGTTCATCAGTGCTGTCAACATGTGCACTTCTCCATATTTCAATTTTACAGCTCATCAGTAATCTTTACTTTTCACATTATCTTAATCTTATAATCCTACCAGAGCTGCTGCACTTCTTACTCTTTCCCCTCACATGCAGTTTTAATAAGCCAGTCACCATAACCTCTGGTAATTAGACAAACATAGGGAACGTTTTTATAATACAACGGTTTCAATATACTTGTATTAGTAGATGCCACTTCAAGAATATTCCAAAGTAGTAGTTTTTATTTGTCTAGAGAGTGTGCTCTAGATTAAAAAATGCATTTAAGGAATATAGAAATTTAATTTATCACATTAAGGCCCCAATTTTATATTTTTGTGTAAGCTTTTAAACTGATTTAAAAAAATAAATATATATATATATATATATATATGTGTGTGTATATTATACAAAACTCCATCAGCATATAAAAAAAAATTACAATATTTTTCAAAATATTAAATTAAGGCAAAATCTGAAATCTAATCTACTAACTGAATGCCTTTCACAGACAATTAAAAGGAGACTCAGAAGAACTTTCATCACTTTAACTAGTTTATTGTAGTGATAATGATTTAGTAACTTCATGGGAGAAGTCTCACAAGTTTGGCAAAAAAAAAAGAAAAAAAAAGGTAAATCTCTGGCACCCGTCTAAGCTTGCGACACCTTATAAAATATTTGCAATGGTAAAACGTAATTAGGACAAGCCAACATGTATTTCTTATTATAATCACAATAATTCTTTTAAACGTGCATGTGCTCTATATCAGAAATGTTTTGCCTATGTATTGAGTTACTGCTCTTGATGCTTTTTTTTTAATGTATTTTTAAACAGGAGCTGCAAAGACGCTGTAATACCCTTATATCTCTAATAGAGAAAGAAAATTTGGAGATTGAGGAAAAAGAGAGAGCAGAAAAAAAGAAACGCACATCAAAACCATCTGTAAATATCTTTTATCAAACCATTACTAATATAGCTTTGGTGATTAAGAAATTACTTTTTGGGTTATATTTTTGCCGTGTGTATATATTTTGCTCCACAAGTTAGCTATATGGTGTAAGTGTGAGTATAGTTAGGCTGATTTGTTTCCTTTGTTAAAGAGTTACTACAACCACCATGACCACTTCTGCTTTTTGAATTTGTCATGGTGGTAGGAGTACGGATGTGCAAGGTTTCCACTTGAAACACTGCACGTCCAGATATATTTTGTTATTGTGTGCTGGGGGCCAGATGCTTGGAGCTCAGCATGGCTCCCATGACGTCAGACGGATGAGCTGAGCTGTGCCTAAGAGCATCACCCAGTGCTGGATTAAGGTAAGTTAAACTTTACTTTAAAACACTCTTTCAGTGTTTCTCTAAGGAGGGGACATGTAGAATAAAGCCAATAGGGCATTATTCTATTAAGTATCAAAAAGGCTTGGAGACCTTTAGATAGTTTTCTAATGCTGATTCACTTTTTGTGGTGTCACACGTGAACCCTGTGGAGGGTGGGGATTCCATTTCTTCACCTGAATTCTCTCCTGTTTTGAACTGGGACTCTGATGTTTGGGTTTGTTAGGTCATGCATACCCCCAAATCACCATATGTTAAAGCATCTGTTTTAAATAAAGTTTCCCTTGACAATGCATTTAGCTTTCATAATTTTCTTATGCATGTTGCCATGTCCTTCATCCTCTGTCTTTACAGTTTAACTGAATATACCACCTCCTCCCCACCCTATAGAGTTTCTCTTTGGGAGGTGGTCCATAAGGTGAATGATGCTATCTCATCTTTCTATAAGAAAACTAATTTTGTTTTGGAGGTCTAATGCACTGATAAGAGCTCTTAGACAAGGCTTTTCATGCTCTCTTTTACTTGGTTCAATTTGTTTGGTCTTGTCTTAGATGCCATTATTTTGCCTTGGCACAAGATCATTTTCATGTGTCCTGGGTCTTGGCTGAGACTCTTCTGAAACTTGTGCTGGACATAGAATGCAACAGGGTCCCACTTTTGGAAACTGGACAGGAGTTTTACTGCAATCTTTTACATGGTTCCCAAAGAGGAGAATTCCTTTCAACAAATCCTGGATTTCACTCTAGGGTCTGGGATTCCATCCTTTCTTGAGGGTTCCTTCATGGCCATAGTGAATCTTAAAGGGACACTATTGTCACCCAGACCACTTCAGCTCAATGAAGTGGTCTGGGTGCCAGGTCCCTCAGGTTTTAACCCTGCACATGTAAACATCGCAGTTTCAGAGAAACTGTGATGTTTACATTAGGGTTAATCCACCCTCTAGTGGCTGTCTTCCTGACAGCCGCTAGAGGCACATCTGCGACGCTGGATGTGAAATTCACATCCAACGTGCAGAACGTCCATAGGAAAGCATTGAGAAATGCTTTCCTATAGACAGTTTGAATGCGTGCGCGGCACTTGCTGCGCATTCCTCTCCACTTGGGAGCTGACGCTGGCGGGGGAGGAGAGGTCACCAGCGCCGAGGGAGCCCGGCGCTGGATTAAGGTAAGTGGCTGAAGTGGTTTTAACCCCTTCAGCGCCATGGGAGGGGGATTTTTATGACACTGTAGTGATCCTTTAATGATACTTATTGCCATATCCCTATCCACCCTTTTTACTTCTGATTCCTACACTATCTTCATACTACAGCACTTTGAAAAGCATTGGACAGCTGTGATCATGTGTGCATGTGCAAATGTGCCCATGGCTCCAGCATTGATTGGTCAGTTCCCTAGCATAGACTGAAAGTCTATGTCAGGGAAAGAGGGCTCTCAGCGGCACCAGATCCAAGGCTGCCTGATAGAATTCTCGGACATTAAGAGAAAGTGCAGATTTTAAGGTGAGACCATAGCAATTTAATTGTAATGAAATTGGTCCTATAAATTCCATTCGTGTTTTCTTAGTAAAATGCAGTTATAGCCTGACTCATGACTGTGGCATAACGTGCAGTTTTAAATAAACAGGGGAAGGCAATTGCTTGTGGCATGAATATGACATGCCTGTTTAAACCATGGGGGGCACTAAAATAGCATGAAGACTCAATTTCTGTTAGAAACACAGGCTTTAAGAACAACTGGTATATAGAATGTAAGGGAGGGGGGCTTTTGTGAGTCAGATGAGAAAGGGAATGACACCGACCGATGTGTGCAGAAGAAGTGTCAGACTAAATGATCTGGTGTTAAATGCAAAGTCCTTGTAACCTGTGCATGATTGTGTTGTATGCATTTATAAATAGTTTCAGAGCTATTCTACAAACCCTAACAACTAAGTGTTTTTTTCTTTTTTTTACCTTTTCAGTCATGTAAAAGAAAAGCAGAGCCAGCCACAGACAGTTGCTCAAAAAAAGATGCTAAGAAGGCCAAGTCTTAAGTTAAAAGCTTGTATTTGCTGATCGCTGGGTACAGAAACTGCCATTCTAAATGCCTACGCAAATATGTTGAAAATGTCTGTGCATTTATAACACTGTCCTATATAAGACATATTATAATATTTTACAATGTTGCTTTATTAACCTGAAAAATGTTGTAATAATCTATTTTATGCATCCCCATTTACTTGTATTGTATTTTGTTAATGACCAGTCCTTGTTTTTAAGCCAATGCAGGAGGTTTTAGCTTTTGTATGTTTTATACTGGCCGTTGCTGCTTCTGAGTAAAATATAAATCTGACAAATGTTACCATCTTGTTATGCACTTTATTCATGATAGAAATCCAATATCATTTATTATTAGTATTGTAAGTTTACAATTAGTCATATGAGTATACGCATATATTGGGCCTTTTCCCTTTGCATAACATTGCTTTACTATCTCTTCTATAGAATTCACATTCTATTAACATCTAATGATTCACATTATGCGTATATGCAGTTTTCAGTATTTTGCGACTTATTCCATGCAGTGGTTTTAACCTAAGTGATTTCCAAATGGTGGTACAGAAAAAAAAAATATATATATATTTCTTGCATATATTGTTTTAATAAAGTACATTAACATGATGTTTATAATAGATTTTAATACAATGTTTTAACCTATATGTCGCCATATGGCAATAAAACTATGTTCTCGAAGTATAAAAAAGAATATTTAGACTGTGTTTTCTTAGTTGCAGCACAAATAACATGAAGTATAGAAATCAATGAGAAAGTCATGTTCTGAATGTCTGTTTAAGCCGCTGTAATCTTCTTGGGGTGCAGTAAAGTTATTATTTTATTTTTTACATATTCTTCTCTCATCATTTTCTCTCTCATTCTCCTTTATGTTACACAATGGATGGATATTTTATTCTAGAACAAAAGAAATGTGTTAACAGAGAGATGCAATACACATATACACTTAGGGAGCATCAATTATTTGTCCAGTCCTGTGGTTCCCATGAATGATTCAATGTAACATTCACATACACATACACACACACACAGCTCATGCTCGCACACCAGCTCATGTGCATGTGCATGTGCACGTCAAATCTGAGGTCTGAAGGAGCTCGATGTGCTGATCTGAGGTCTTTGTGGAAGGAGTCAGGTTCAAGTAAAGTGCTCCTCCCACTTCTGATGGCTCAGGGGAGTTAATGGAAGGAGACTGTAAACCTCCCTGGCTATTTGATTGACTGTCATAGTTCTCACAGAAATTTGCACTTTGATAAACTAGGCTAGGATAGTGCTCACCCATAAAGCACTTCAGCAAGCTGAAGTGGTTTTAGGGTGTGGAGTGATCCTTTAAGGAGGACTGCTTTGTGTCTTATACAAAACTTACATTTAACTAAATTGCAGAAATGAGTAGCTTTGAATTGTCAGGGATATATTAATAGTCACAGACAATGGGGAGAATTCTATTTTTTGGAGTCTCTAGCCATCAGGCTTAAGTAACAAGAATATATTTTGTTGTTGTAGCTGTCTTTTTTGCACTTGTTGTTCTTTAAAATAGTTTCTATTAGGGGTGTATATTTTTTTGTAGTTTTCTGTTCTTTCTCATTGCAGACTGTAAAAATAAACAATAAAGATACTGAACACTTTAGGGTGCACGGACCCTGTCTTCACCCCCGGCCCACAATAATGTAGAAAGATTATTTATTAAGGTGCCAAAAAAAAAACAAACATGCTAGCTCATGTGATACGATATGTGAACACAGTGTCGTGGATCAAATCAAGTGTTTGATAATTTTGTATATCTGTAACAGGCACCATGGGACTTATGGAACAGTTTACCAGGAGTTGGAGCCCAGTTGCAGGAGATGGTACAGGAGGAGGCAAAATCCAAAACACAGTACAGATTAAGGGGAAATCCAAAGGCAGGGTCAGATGAGAAGCAGAAGTCAGGGCTGGCAACGGAGTAACAAAGTCGGTAAATCAGGCAGAGGTCAAAGTCCAGGAAATCAGTCAGTAGCAAATCAAAGATCCGTCAGGAAACACCAAACAGGCAAAATGACCAGATACTAGCTTCCAGGCACAGCTGGCTTTTACAGCCTGCTAATGTCTCACTGCAGCTGGCCCTAATTGGAAAAGGGTTGCTGGTGGATCAGTGCTGCTAAATGGTGGATGTCATGGCAGAGAACCTGACTGGGATGCTGGAGCTGTGAGTTCAAACACAACCAGGTCTCTTAAAGGGGCTGTCAAAATTGTTAAATTAATGCATGCTTCCCAAAGTTATTACACACAAGTTTCAGGTTAATGAAAAACTTGAGGAAAAGTTTAATCATAGGCCAGTATGCCCCTTAAGCAAGAATACATCATATGCATAATCAGAGAAAATACATCAATAATTGGTTAAGTGATCACTCCCATCATGAGATTCTCCTCCACATTCCAGTGCCATCTTAATTGAGGTGGTTAGTCAATGGGCAGGATCATTATTATTAACACCCTAGAGGCCATTTTAAGTAGCTTATAATACTGATTATAGTTATGCAGAGTAAATAGGCATTTTACTAAAGTTAATATTCTGTCCACAACAGCAGTCACATGATAAATATGCAGAATATAAAAGTAAAGTACAATTAAAATTAAATTAAAAAAATAATTTTCATTACATATTCAGTTTCATGTAAATCTACTCCGTTTACATAATTACATATTAAAACCTGATTATAAACTATACAAGTTTATATACAAGAAACTACATAAAAGAGAATACATATAAGATTTAAAAAAAAACTAAAAGAGTTCGAAAGATAGATAATGAATAATAATCAGGAGTCCAAACAGTAAGTAAAATTGGAGTAAAATTCTCATTGGAACAATACAAACTCTTTAATAAAATACAGCAATTAAAATACCACAACGCGTTTCTCCCCTTAGGGCTTTCTCAAGTGAGTTACAGCCAGGGGTGGTGTGACTTTCGATGGATAGACAGAAACAAAATATATTTTACTCCTAAATGGAGCCGTGCGACTGCAGGGACATGATATGCACAGCCAAATTACTTAATTTAGCTAAAGTTGTTTTGATAGCTATAGTGTCTTCCAACACATAACTTAAAGGGATAGGTTAAAAAGTATTTTTTTCTGTATTATAGGTTTACAGGTTTTTTTTTTTTTTAGTTTACCCAGAAAAAATAGAAAGAAGTGGGACCTGTGTGAAAATGGGTGTAAAAGGGAATAAACATCACCTCCGCACTGATCCCATGCACCAGGAGGGCACTCCAGCAATGCCCAAGGGCTTAACCCTAGATACTAGCAACAGTGCCTACGTCTTTATCTCCAGGCAGCATTATATTCATGGTTTGTGAATTTTTGCTTCTTTTTTTTTTTTTTTTTTAAATAGATTAGGCTCCCCCTTGATCCTCACATTGTCCTTAACATTCCACTTCACCCTTACTAACTTGTTGCGTTACATATGGCAGAGGAAGCTTTAAAGCGAGAGGACCCAGTAATTGTATTATCTTATTTTAACTCTGGCATTGATTTTCTCTGTCTCAGGTCATTCTCTGTGCCAGCCAGCTATATTGCCTTTTGTTCCTTAGAATACTTTTCCTTTTTTTTATGAGATGAGGGAAATAAGTTAAAAATAATGACTTTCTATCCGGTAGCTCAGACTTTTGAAGCAACGTCTAATAAAACAACCATATTAAATCTATATTTGTATCCCATCTAATCACTTTATATAGATAATATGTATACACTGGTAGTGACATGTAATGGTCAATGTGAAAATAAAATCCAAAATAGTTTGCCTGTATCCTTTTTCGTGGTGTTCTAGCAACATTGTAAGTTCTTATCATTTCTCCCAGCGCTTATAGCAGATAGTGTGAATTTAAGGTCAAATCACTTTGGACTCTGCAGCCTATCTGATATATTTCCCATCCCTATCATATTAGACGTATGTTGACCTCTTTGTAGTCTGTTGACAGCATAAAGCAGGTTAAGTAACTACAGCGTTAACTGGTATACGCCAGTTTCGGCAAGTACTGTTACATAAAATATATAATCATCGGACCTTAGATTTGTTCATTACAAACTAATACAAACAAATCATTGTTATAAGATTAAAAGTTGTTTATTTTTCAACTCATTTCTATTGAATTGCAGTTTATCATTTAATATATAACTTCATACACAGCAGTCAGATTGTAATAAATGACAGTATGTATTAAAAAACACATTTTGGGTTCTGTATTTTTTATAGATTCTGGGAGTATATTATTTAAATGTAGATGAGAGCTATTCTTTCAAGCATGCTGTCAATATGTTGTAATATTCATTTCTTCCATAATGCAGAAACCGAGCAAATTCATATCTTAGCTAAAAGGATATCATAAGCACCAATACAACTTTAGCTTGATGAAGCTAGTTTGGTGTATTGTTCATGCTGCAACAGTCTTTAGGATTTAAATCACTTTGTTTATGCAGCCCTAGCAACACCTACCCTGGCTGTGACTCACATAGTGTCAGTGAAAAAAGGTTTCATTTTAAAACTTACCTTAGAATAGTGTGTTTACTTTAGAGGTTATGGTCCTCTTCTCTGTTAAATTCAAATTTAGTTACACACTGGAGGTTGCTACAGGTTCTAGAAGTCATTAACCCCTTAAGGACGGCGTTAGGGAACCGGCTCTAAACGCCGGAGGGCAGCATAGAATGCCCTAACCGTCCTTTCTACTAACCCGGTCGCCGGCGATCCCATGCCAGCGATCGCGGTATGGGGACTTACCTGGGAGCCCAGGGAGTCCCCCTCCATCCTCTTTGGCCTCCCTGGGCCATGTGATCGCGAGGTCCTTGTTTAAAAAAGTGTAAAATTAAATAATATATACTTAGATCATATATATTTATTATTTATATGATCTAAGTATATATATATATATATATATATATATACATATATATATATATATATATATACACACACACATACACATATACATACACTGCCTAAGTGTATTTTAATATTAATATATATAATTATAAAGATATATTAATATCAAAATACATGTACATTGATATTGATTAAAAATATATAATTTTCATTATATATATATATATATATAATATAAAATAAATATGTAAATACATTAAAAAATAAAAATATATGTAAATTCGTTCTAACTGTATTTTAAAATTAATATATATATATTGATATCAAAATACATGTAGAACGAAATAATATATATATCTATATACATAAGTATATACGTATATATCACTATATACCTATATATAAATAATACAAAAATATATATATATATACGTATATATAATAATTCTACATATATATTTATGTAATAATTTTACATAATTAGGTCATTTTATTAATTACAATTAGCGGGACCTGCCTGACAACCCAGGCTTAAAGAGCAGGGAATTTAATTTGCTAGCACAATATTTAATCCTGTAACTTTCCAAGACACCATAAAACCTGTACATGGGGGGTACTATTTTACTCGGAAGACTTTGCTGAACACAAATATTAGTGTTTCAAAACAGTAAAATGTATTACGATGATATTGTTAGTGAAAGTAACTTTTTTTTCATTTTTCACACACAAATGGCACTTACACGGACAATATAATTGTTGTGATATGTTTTACTGTTTTGAAACACTAATATTTGTGTTCAGCGAAGTCTCCCGAGTATAACAGTACCCTTCATGTACAGGTTTTATGGTGTTTTCAAAAGTTACAGAGTCAAATATAAGGCTTGCGTTTCAGTTTTTTCACATTGAAATTCACCAGGTTGGTTATGTTGCCTTTGAAACCGTACGGTAGCCCAGGAATGAAAATTACCCCCATGATGGCATACCATTTGCAAAAGTAGACATCCCAAGGTATTGCAAATGTGGTATGTTCAGTCTTTTTTAGTAGCTACTTAGTCACAAACACTAGCCAAAATTGGCGTTCAAATTAGTTTTTTGCATTTTTCACACACAAACAAATACTAACGCTAACTTTGGCCAGTGTTTGTGACCAAATGGCTACTAAAAAAAGACTGGACATACCCCATTTGCAATACCTTGGGTTGTCTACTTTTGCAAATGGCATGCCATCATAGGGGTAATTCTTATTCCTGGGCTACCATACGGTCTCAAAGGCAATGTAACCAATCTGGCGAATTTCAATGTGAAAAAAAAATGAAAAATGTAACATGCTATATTTGACCCTGTAATTTCCCAAAACACCATAAAATCTGTACATAGGGGGTACTGTTTTACACGTGAGACATCGCTGAATACAAATATGTGTATTTTTTTTACAGTAAAAGCAAACAGTATTATGACATTCACAGTTAGAATGTCACGTAGAACTAAAATTTTTTTAAGAAATTCTTATTTTCTCCCATTTTTTATATTTTATTTATATTAAATTATGTTTCATATCTAAATATTTGATGTTTAATGAAAGCCCTGTTTCCCCTGAATGAAATGTTATATAATAAGCATGAGTGCACATAATATGAAAGAGGCAAATTACACCTGCACAGACATATAGCGCAAATTCAAGTTTTTGTTTTGTTTTGTTCACAACGTGTATATTTGGCTCAGACCTTAAGGGGTTAAAGAGTTGGAGATAAAATAACACATTTTGCAATAAGGAAAAGTTTCAAAATTAGACCTCTTTTTAAGGAAGTGTGTGAGACATAGGCAAAGAGGTGTGTCGAGAGCTGTATAAACAATGTGATTTCATTCCTAAATGGCAGAGAACTGATTTATACACAAAAACACAGTGATTGTTCAAAGCCAATGAACATCCATCTCTCTTAGTGGCAGGGACCAGTGCCCAGCAGAAAAAAAAGTCAAGCCATTAGCAAATGAGTCCAATATACACAATTAGGAGGTGCACTTCTGGTACCATAAGAGACAACTAATACCATTTCTTGCCTAATCATGCCCGACAGAGATTTTAATAAATATTGCGTATAACAAGTGAGGACATGGCCATGAAGACTAAACAAAATCTAGTTGCATAATGTAAAGGTATTTATTTTATAAACCAGTAGAGATTCATGAGCTTTCATTTGTTTATTAGTATATTGGAGGACTACGATGGCACCATTTGTAAATCAGACTTACCTTTCTTTTCAATCCAGCGCTGGTTCTCACTTGTTGGAATGGGGTCCAACTCATTGCCTCAAGCACAGTAGACTGTAAATTACTTAAACCATGTCCTCCTCCTAAACTGTTCAGATGCCTGCATGACTCCGTATATAGGTGACTGCTTATTAATCATGTCCATTTAATTTGTTTAACATTTCATTTTACATACTCCATAAGCAGGGCATCCTGAAGCATAAAGCATAACTCATAGTTTAAGTTGGCCAACCTTGGATTGTAACACCCAACTACATTATTTATCTCCTAACACCTAACCCACACCCTCAATGCCTAACCATAATCTTTTAAATATAACCCCAATACTTAATGCCTTTATTCTTTTATTCTATCATTTGTGCATTCAGCAATTTGGATTTCTCACATTTAGCCTTATTTCATTTGGCATTTTAATTATTATAGTATTCTGATGGTTTATCCAAATTCATGTTACTTCTTCACCTTAAATTGTTTTGCATAAATCACACACAAATTGCACTTTTAACATAAATACTAACATACTTTCCCAATACAGCGTTAAATGTGCTAAGTTCTTATTTATTTATAAGGTAGAGGAAGCTGATAGTGGGCATTCCTCCGATGTCTCAGCTGAAGAAAGGAGAAGATCAGGAATCCACCAGTGACCAGTCAAAAGCATTCACAATTCTATCGTTGATAAGACAGTGTAGTTCCAAAAACCTTTACTCATGCAACACAATGCTGTAGTGGCATAGCAACATTGACCTGTCTATTGGCTGTTTCCCTTCATCTGTACTATGTTGCTACCACATATTTTTTTTTTTGCAAGACCAAAGTGCTTTTGGAATGTGTTGCTCATTACCTTAGTGTAAATTGTGAATAGTGTCATTTTGTGGCACATTTCTCTTATTCATCACTTTTAGTTTAAATATCTCCCCAAACTGATGCTGTAGGTAGAAAGACAAGAGAGTGAGTTATGATACATTACAATTGGTAATGGAACCATGAATAAAGGATGCTATTGTTTCATCATCATGCTGAGATTGCAGCCCCAATAGTGTATTAAAGTGTTCTGAGAATCTCAATGTAAGGCAGAATTATATTCCATTATTGCATGTGTAATAAAAAAAGTAATTTGCATCTTTATTAACTTTGATCATAAACAATGTAAAACTATATCATATGTAGCCAAGGCAGAACATTTTTTTTTTTCTGATCTAATTGCTTGTGCGGTACTTCAGACGGGCATCAAAATACAACGATAATTTAATTCATGTAACAAATATTAGAAATGTAGTAAAAATAACAGAACATACAGGTCACCGTGTGCCTTTGTGAAGCTTTTAAAAATTTCATGAAATATATGCATGCTTTAAATAAATGATCAGTTCACACTTTTGAATAGCCATAATATTAGATTCTTTTGCTTAAGTAATGACTTTGAAGCAATTTTGGAACCGTCAAGAAGTTAAGTCTAGTAAATGTTTAATTAGATGTCAGTCAAAACGAAAGCAATTTTAAAATGTTATCATTGCATAGCAAATACTGCAAAACATGCAATGCTTTTATTGTTTTGTTTTGTTTTAAAAGCTTTCTTTGCATATTCCAAAACTTTGTCACTTTATGTTTTTTTTTTCCAGGGACCAATAACATAAAACTAGAATTTGTTTTTCATCAGAACAAACTCAGATTTTTCTTGTCATATATTTCATATATGCAAAAAAAAACACACAAAACCTTCAAATTTATGTTGTTACATTGACCCCTTCACTCTTAAATGGTCTTGAAAAATAGCCCAGCCTCCAGAATATGTACATTTTGGGTGTCCTCTAAAGTAATTATTAGAATGTATTTTTTTTGTTTTAGTATGCATATATAGTGTATTATTTAAAAGAAACAAAAATTTTGGTTGGACTGGAAAAATGTAAAAAAATTATTTACCAAATAGTGAATTTACAGATGAGGAATAGGGTTGTAATTGACCATACACTGATTAGCCACAACATTAAAACCACTGACAGGTGTAGTGAAACACATTCATTATATTGTTGCAATAGCACCTGTCAAGGGGTGGGATGTATTAAGCAGCAAATGAAAAGTCAGTTCTTGAATGGCATGTGTTGGAAGCAGGAAAAATGAGCAAGCACAATTATATGAGTGACTCTGACAAGGGCCAAATAGTAATGGATAGACAACTGGGTCAGAACATCTCCAGAACGGCAAATCTTGTGTTGTGTTCCTGGTATGCAGTGGTTGCCATAGTGGCGCCGAAGGCAATTTGATGCATGTGAGAGAGGCTGGTCCGATCACACAGAAAAGCTACTGTAGCTCAATTTGCTACAAAACATAATGCTGGTCATGATAGAAAGGTTTCAGAACATACAGTGCATTGCAATTTGCTGCGTATTGGGCTGCTTAGCTACAGATGGGCCAGAGTGCTTACAGCACAGTAGCCAAAGACTGGTCAGAGCATGAGCTTTAGAACTGGACCATAGAGCAATGAAAGAAAACTGCCTGTTCTGATGAATCATGTTTTCTTTTAGATCAGGTAGATGGCAGGGTACGTGTGCATTGTTCACCTAGGAAAGAGATGGCAGCAGGATGTGCTGTAGGAAGACAATAGGGGCAGATGCCCGCTATGTTTTTGAGATGGAAGTGGCAGGATTTGCCGATTGATTAGACATGAGGGATGAAGGAGAGGTCGGAGTCAAAGAGAACACCTAGGCAGCGAGCCTGTGAGGTAGAGCGGATGATAGCGCCATTGACTTGGAGGGAAACAGACAAGTGAGTAACAACGCTTGAGACCACAAGTTCTGTTTTGGACACGTTAAAGGACCACTATAGTGCCTGGAAAACAAACTCGTTTTCCTTGCTCTATAGGGTCTTTAGGTACCCCCCAGCCTCAGGGTCCCACTCCCGCTGGGCTGAAGGAGGCTGAAGGGGTTAAACACTTACCTTTCTCCAGCGCTGGGCTCCCTCAGCTCTGGGGACTCTCCTCCCTCTTCCGACGTCATTCGCGAATGCGCATGCGTGGCAAGAGCCACGCGCATTCAATCAGTCCATAGGAAAGCATTTCTCAATATTCACAGTGAGAAGCGCGGAATCGCCTCTAGCGGCTGTCAATGAGACAGCCACTAGAGGCTGGATTAACCCTATTGTAAACATAGCAGTTTCTCTGAAACTGCTATGTTTACAGCTGCAGGGTTAACCCCAAATGGACCTGGCACCCAGACCACATAATTGAGCTGAAGTGGTCTGGGTGCCTATAGTGGTCCTGGGTTTGCGTGTCATCCACATAAAAATTATACTGGAAGCCAAAGGAGCTGATGAGCTTACCAAGGGAGGCAACGTACACTGAGAACAATAGAGTACCAAGGACAGACCCATGGGGAACACCATCAGAAAGGGATTGTGGAGAAGAGTCAGAACCAGAGAAAGAAACACTGAAAGAGCACTGGGCGAGGTAGGAAGAGGACCAGGAGAGAGCTTACCTAGAGATTGTTGCAGACCACATACACCCCTTCATGGCTATGGTGTTCCTTTATAGCAGTGGCATCTTTCAGCAGGATAATGCACCCTGCCACACTGCAAAATTGTTGAGGAACCTGGCAAAGCATTCAAGGTGTTGTCTTGCACTACAAATTCTCCAAATCTCAGTTCATTGGAGCATCTGTGGGATGTGCTGGAACAACACATCTGATCCATGGAGGCCCCACCTCACAACTTGCAGGATTTAAATGATCTGCTGCTAATGTCTTGGTGTCAGATACCACAGGACACATTCAGAAGTCTTATAAAGTACATTCCTCAATACATCAAAACCAAATCTCAATAAAAGAAAACAGTAAAGTCCACCTCACACTTGACATTTCGGCTCCTGGATTTTTCAAAAATGTTTTGAGTTACTCCAGGGATGTGGGTGGTAGGAGCGTTAAATTATGTTTAAGCAATATATATATATATTTTTATGCCTTTTGCAGAAATTGTAGCCATGGGTCCCATATAGCTTTGTATAAGGGATACTTTAGTGTATTTTGTGGGTGTTATCAAACCCAGATATTTAAAGCAGTGTGACCACCTTCACTTTCTGCTACTTTTAACCGCAGAGGCACTGTTTAGTACCCATGCACAGTGCAAGCATGTCTAATGATGCACTTGGACTGCGCTGTCTGAGGACGGTTCCCTGATGTCCCTTTATGTGGGAAACCAGGAAACCAAATAAAGATGGCAAGGCAACCCCAAAAGCAGAACTTTTATTAGCACTAAGCACTAACTATCAATGCATTATAGACACGTTGCATCAAAAAAAATCATAGTCCTTGGAAAATCCTCTCTGGATACAACACACCCTACTGCTTATGATATATCATATTTTAACACACAAACATTACTATTATCATTGTTATTGATTTTACCTAGTTAACGCTGAAAATTCCACTAGTTTGGTGGAGTGTATAATTTGGCTCACTACCTGAGAAGCAGTGGTGGAACTACAGCGGTTGCAGGGGTCGCAGTTGTGACCGGGCCCGTCACTCCAGGGGTCCCTGCCGCCCTGCCTAACCACTGCCACAAGGGGTGCCCGCCAACTTTGTTGAGTGGGCCCGGCCGTGCAGAAAATCCACCAGGGCTGCAATGGAGGGACCCATCAGGTGGCCCATACTCTTGGGGCCATCCTATGGCAATGAGCATGTGTTTATGTGTGTCTGTGTATCTGCATGTGTGTCTGTGTGTTCTGTGTCTGTATGTGTATCTTTTTTATGTGTATCTGTTTGTCTGCATATTTGTCTGTATGTATATCTGTGTCTCTATGTGTATCTGTTTGTCTGTATCTGTGTCAGTGTGTGCCCCTATGTATCTGCATGTGTGTCACTGTTTATATTTGTATGTGTATCATTCTGTGTTTTTGAATGTTTGTCATTAAGTGTGTCTGTGTATCTGCATGTGTGTCTATATGTGTGTCTGTGTATCCACATGTGTGTCTATATGTGCATCTGCGTCTGTATGTGTATCTATATGTCTGTTTGTCTGCATATGTGTCTGTATGTGTATCTGCATATGTGTATCTTTTTTTCTCCATATGTTTATCTGTCTGCATGTGTGTAAGTGTGTGCCCCTATGTATCTGCATGTGTGTCACTGTTTGTATCTGTATGTGTGTCATTCTGTTTGTGTATCTGCATTTGTCTATATATGTATCGCTCTGTATGTCTGTGTATCCGCATGTGTGTCAGTGTAGGTCTGTGTATCTGTATGTGTGTCAGTCTTTGTATCTGTTGAAGTGTCATTCTGTGTATCTAAATGTGTGTCATTCTGTGTGTCTGTGTATTACCATGTGTGTATGTGTATATATATATGTATGTGTTATATTATACAAATGGAGGGGTGAGGGGGCAGGGAGGGTAGGGAAGATTTATGGGGAGGGGGAGGCCCCGGGGCAGTTTTCACACTGGGGCCCTGTGGTTTCTCCTTACGTCCAGTGGCGTACTAAGATGTGTGCGGGGGGCGGTGTGCCCCGGGTGCCATCAGGTAGGGGGGTGCCACCAGGGCTGGCCAGGCTTGGGGTTCAGTGAGCTGTGTGGCTGCACTGGGTGCCATAGCAGCAGGGGCACCGGGCAGCCGACACAGCTCACACGCAGGGGCTGGGAGCAGAAGCAGGAGACCTGCATGGAGATTGGGGGCAGAGCCAGATCGGCCATGGGGGTGGAGCCAAGCCAGATGTGGGGGCGGAGCTAAATGCAGCCTCGTACTGCTGCACACAAAGGGGAATCAGGAAGGAGTCCCTGCTTCCCCAATTCCAACACAGCAGAGACTGAATCCACTCCTCCTCCAGCCCAAGCTTACTGTAAGTGAGAGAGAGTCTGTGATTGTCTGTGTGACTGTGTGTGTGATTGTCTGCCTGTGTGTGTGTGTGTGACTGTCTGTCTATGATCGTCTGCCTGTGATTGTCTGTGTGACTCTGTGGGGATGATTGTCTGCCTGTGTGTGTGTGTGTTTGACTGTCTGCCTGTGATTGTGTGTGTGTGTGTGAGTGACTGTCTGTGACTGTGTGTGTGTGTGTGTGTGACTGTCTGACTGTGATTGTGTGTGTGCCTGTCTGCCTCTGATTGTGTGTGTCTGTCTGTGATTGTGTTGTGTGTATGTGTGACTATCTGCCTGTGTGACTGTCTGCCTGTGATTGTGTGTGTGACTGTGTGTGTGTGTTACTATGTGTGTGTGACTGTCTGCCTGTGATTGTCTGTGTGACTGTGTGTGTGTGTGAGACTGTCTGTGACTGTTTGTGTGTGTGTGACTGTCTGCCTGTGATTGTGTGTGTCTGTGACTGTGTTGTGTGACTGTCTGCCTGTGATTGTGTGTGTGACTGTCTGTGAATCTGTGTGTGTATGTGTGACTGGCTGCCTGTGTGATTGCCTGTGTGTTTGACTGTCTGCCTGTAACTGTGTGTGAGTGACTGTGTGT